ATCTTGGTTTTTAATTTTTTAGATTGAAGTCCCTTTGTGTAGGTTATGAGACATTCTTAATGATGCCTATACTTGAATTTCAGATTCTTACATAAATATTTCAACCTTCGCTATTCAGAAGCAGCCTTGTTTGTGGCTTACTAAGTAGTTTTGTCGACAAATGAAGAACTCAGCATCATTTGAGCAGTCTATACCTGAAAGAATTATTCAACCTTTGCTCAGTGCATCAAACTCTTGCACTCTAGAAGCATCCTTAGAAGCCCTTATTGAAGCTTCCAAAAGTGTCGAGGGTCGATCGAATTTTGCTTCTCAGAATATCCTTCCTTGTGTGCTCGAGCTGATTCAGTGTCTCGATTACACTTCTAATAATGCTCTTCAATTGTCATCCTTAAGGCTCCTTAGAAACCTATGTGCTGGAGAAATTAGAAACCAGAATGTTTTTATTGAACAAAATGGAGTCGGAGTCGTTTTGAGCATTTTGCAAAATGCTATGCTTTTGTTTGATCCCGATCGTGTGATCATTAGACTAGGACTACAGGTTCTAGCAAATGTTTCATTGGCTGGAGAAGAACATCAACAAGCAATTTGGCATGGATTGTTCCCCGACAAGTTTGTTTCACTTGCTCGTATTCGTTACTGTGAGATTTCGGATCCTTTGAGCATGATTCTCTATAATTTATGTAGTACAAACTCCGAACTTGTCGCATCGCTCTGCAGTGACGTAGGGTTGCCTATACTTGAAGAGATTACAAGGACGACAACTTTAGGTAAACTCGTAGATTTTCTAACTCTTAGATTTCTTTGAAATGTCGTGTTTTAACACTCCTTTTTGATGGTTTTTCAGTTGGTTTTAAGGAAGATTGGGTGAAGTTACTTCTTTCAAGAATCTGCTTGGAGGAACCTTATTTTCCTCGACTTTTCTCTGCATTACGCCCTATTGATACTTCTAAAGATGGCGGCAAAGACATGTCCTTTTCATCCGAACAGGCGTTTCTTTTGACAATCATATCGGAGATATTGAACGAGCGAATTGGAGATATCTCTATTCCCAAGGATTTTGCGTCATGTATACATAGAATATTTCAAAGCTCCATTCCTATTATCAGTTCCACACCGATATGCGAGCGCAGTCTCCCAACAGGCACGACTGCAGTCGACGTTCTTGGCTACTCGCTCAATATTTTACGAGATATTTGTGCGCAGGAGGATGGTAAGGAAGGAGGACATAAAGATGTCTCCAAGGATGCAGTTGATGTGCTTCTCTCTCTCGGACTTATCGATTTGCTTTTGGGCATACTTCGAGATATCGAACCACCAGCCATAGTCAAGAAGGCAATTCAACAAGCAGAGAACGAGAATAGAACAGATCTTCCAAACACGTCGAAGTCGTGTCCATGTCCATATAAAGGGTTTCGAAGAGATATCGTTGCTGTCATTGCAAATTGCTTATACAGAAAGAAACACGTACAAGACGACATTCGAAAGAAGAATGGAGTGTTTGTGCTATTGCAGCAGTGTGTTGTTGATGAAAACAATCCATTTTTGAGGGAATGGGGCATCTGGGCTGTGAGGAACTTACTGGAAGGGAACTTGGAAAACAAAAAACTTGTAGCTGAATTGGAGGTTCAAGGGCCTGTAAATATGCCTGAGATTGCTGAACTTGGTCTTCAAGTTGAGGTGGACCCAAAAACAAAGGCCGCTAAGCTTGTCAATGCCTCGCGACCATTTAAAGACAATTAAGGTAACAAACTGTGTTTCATTTGTGGGTTTGGACGCTTGTTTTTAAGGTTGAAATGTCTGTCTTGAACTGAGAGTTTTAAGGTTTCACTCTCTTATTACTATTTTGTAGGAATGAAAAACGTGGTACATGAAGAAACAAGAACCAACGCAAGCTTCTTCTACTTAGCGCCCACAAATATTGCCCGAACTCTCATTATTGGGCTTTTTCTAAACCAGATACCGAAGATTTCTTGCCCGAATCATCTATTGGAGCTATCAAGCAGTCTAGTTTAGCCTTTGGTGAGGGTCACAACTTCAGTGATGCCAACACTCTTGGTGGTATCAAGGACTCCAGCTCGAGTTCCAACGTTGGCCATAACCTAGTCGATGCCGGTACTCTCGGTAATGTCAAAGAATCTAGCCCCATCTCTGGCAGCGGTGGCCGTCATTAATGATCCAGCTTTTTAATGCTTAGACACTGATTAGTGAATAAATAGTGATTTTATTAATATGAAACTACTTATATTATTAATATTATATTATACTCTAGCGTCCAAAAATCATATTATGAACCTCTGTAATAGGTGGAATATTGAATAATATGTCATTAACGTATATGATTGAGTGCATCTAATATAATGAATTGGTATAAGATTGATTACAAAATATTTAATCTTTATTTATAAATTTGTTGATCGAAAAGATTAATACTTCACATAAGTGACTTAATTTGGAGACTTGATGTAGGAGCTTGTTCTTTTCTTCAATTGTTGTAGAACCCCTACCAAATCCACCCCGGCAGCGAGAAGGCTGGCACATTCCCACCAAATCTACCCCCTTTGAGGCCAGCGAGAAGGCTGGCACATTCCCACCAAGTCCACCCTTTTTGGGGCCAGCATCCTTTCTAGCATACTGCCTCGTGTCTACCATTCGTAACGGTCCAGGCCCACCACTAGCATATATTGTTCTCTGCCTCGTGTCTACCATTTGTAACGGCCCAGACCCACCACTAACAGATATTGTTCTCTGCCTCGTGTCTACCATTTGTAACGGCCCAGGCCCACCACTAGCAGATATTGTTCTCTTTGGGCTTTTTCTTTCGGGCACCACTAGCAGATATTGTCCTTTTTTTTTTTCTTTTGGGCACCGCTAGCAAAACACCCTTATAGGCTTTAAAACGCGTCTGCTAAGGGAAGGTTTCCACACCCTTATAAAGGGTGTTTTGTTCTCCTCTCCAACCAATGTGGACATCACAAAAGGTAAAAACACTTTATATAATCCTAAGTCCAAAAGGTCTCTATTTGAAATGTTGTCGTCAGCGGTACAGGGTGCCTTGCCTTTACCTGAAATAGAAATAGAACACGACTTGAGTCTTTTAAGAAATACTCAGTGACCCCACTATTGGGGTCAGGAAATGCAAACACATGCTACTCGTGATCTAGGGACCTATCGTTAAAACCATCGTAAGGTGACCTTCAATCTAGCAAAATTGGATGTGTAGTACTTCCCTATCCACGATTCACGCTTCGAGCGTGGATCCCAAGGCGGTTTGCACCCCCCTGGACCCATCATAGTCAAGCTAGTAGCCCGTAGCGACGTTCGGAGGTCAGTAAACCCCTAAGTGTCATGCGAAGCAGGATGATCATCATCATCATAGTGTATGAGTCCATACTCATCATCATAAATGGGGAAGTAATCCGATGTATATGTACACACAAAATGCATGAGGTCCCTATAGTTTTCATCTTTATGACACAACCCTATACTCCTCCACATATTACTCTAAGTACCATGCATGCATTGACCTTCATACGATCTAGGGTTGTGTCTTAGAAAAATTGTCATAATGCATCATGGCATTTAATACATGTATATAATCATAATATGGAATAACGTCATATTATGTCATCTCATCATCATACATCTTACATTGCCATGTTATTATGCATCATCATCATTATGTCATCATGTCATGTCATCATCTCATATCATAATATACATCATCACATCATTATATAACGTCGTCACATCATCATATAATATCATCACATCATCGTACAATATCATTACATCATCATATAACATAAAACATAAATAACATGTGCAAGGGCAACTAGGTACATGTCGTCATACATAAGACAAGTCTTCCGACCGAGCCGATAGTAAGACACTTACTTGGTTGGTATCAGTCAACGTTCTATCTAGCTCTAAATTTGCTTGCATTTATCATTCAAATTCATTCTCATTTATACCGAGGCTTCACATATTTTGAATATAAACTTAATTTTTTTATATTTTTTATTAATATCTTTTTTTACTGGTTGTTAGAGTCATTTATGAGATTGTAATTTTATTTGGCAACATTCTAATTGTCTCCAACTGTTTATCTTGATTTTGCACCTTCCCAATAATTTTTTTTTATAATTAATACCTTCCTAAATTGTCTCTATAAATATCTTTCAAAATTGGTTATCTATCTTATTAGCTAAACTGTTGTTTGAGGTGATATAACTTTGAGCTTCGTTTTAATTTTTTTTGGCTAAGTGAAGGCCACAACTTCATTGATGCCAATACTCATGGCGATATCAAAAACTCCAGCTTGAGTCACAACGTTGGCCACAACTTAGTTGTCGATGTCAGTCCTCTTCGTAATGTCAAATCACCTGGCCTCAGCCCTTGCGCCAAAGGCCATGGATGTTGTTATTCCCTTTTAAGTAGCCATTATGAACTATAAGCATTAGTTCATAATTCACGAGTCGCTTGTGAAATATTAATCTTTTCAATTTATAGGCTTATGGAGAGAGATTAAATATTTTGTAGTCCAGTCTTATATAAACTAATTGTATAGGATACTCTCAATCACATATCTTCGTACAAACGATCCTTAAGTTATTTCTTGAACATAATCCTCTCATATGTTAATTATAAATTATTCCGGATTCCACATATTATAGAGATTCATAATATGATTTTTGGACGGTCGAGAACCAAAAGTGAGCTACTTATAGAGTATTTTTATACTCATTCGTGCTATTTTTTTTTTCAAATGGTACATGAGCTTACTCGATATGGGATGAGTGTTATCGAAGTATTGGGACTATGGAGTTGAAATATATCAGCATCTTTTGTAGATTCTAGAACTCTTAGACTATGTCAATTCTACACTGCGAAACCATTGTACGAGCTTTATACATGGATTGATTAAAATTATCTACGTCAAATGTTAAATCTAAATATTTTATGGGATCCTAGCGTTTTTTTAATAACATGCACCATTTGAGTTTTATGAAAAATATAAGTTGTTTCATATTAATAAAATCGCTCTTTATTCACTGTGTTAAAAGCGATAATTGTCTAAACATTAAAAAGCTGGATCATTAACAACATCCCTTATGGCCACCGCCTTTCGGGCTTGGGCCAGATGCTTTGACATTAGCAAAAGTATTGACATCATTGAAGCTGTGGCCTTGATGGCCACCGCCTTTCGGGCTTGGGCCAGATGCTTTGACATTAGCAAGAGTATTGACATCATTGAAGCTGTGGCCCTGATGGCCACCGCCTTTCGGGCTTGGGCCAGATGCTTTGACATTAGCAAGAGTATTGACATCATTGAAGCTGTGGCCCTGATGGCCACCGCCTTTCGGGCTTGGGCCAGATGCTTTGACATTAGCAAGAGTATTGACATCATTGAAGCTGTGGCCCTGATGGCCACCGCCTTTCGGGCTTGGGCCAGATGCTTTGACATTAGCAAGAGTATTGACATCATTGAAGCTGTGGCCCTGATGGCCACCGCCTTTCGGGCTTGGGCCAGATGCTTTGACATTAGCAAGAGTATTGACATCATTGAAGCTGTGGCCCTGATGGCCACCGCCTTTCGGGCTTGGGCCAGATGCTTTGACATTAGCAAGAGTATTGACATCATTGAAGCTGTGGCCCTGATGGCCACCGCCTTTCGGGCTTGGGCCAGATGCTTTGACATTAGCAAGAGTATTGACATCATTGAAGCTGTGGCCCTGATGGCCACCGCCTTTCGGGCTTGGGCCAGATGCTTTGACATAAGCAAGAGTATTGACATCATTGAAGCTGTGGCTGTGATGGCCACCGCCTTTCGGGCTTGGGCCAGATGCTTTGACATTAGCAAGAGTATTGACATCATTGAAGTTGTGGCCGTGATGGCCACCGCCTTTCGGGCTTGGGCCAGATGCTTTGACATTAGCAAGAGTATTGACATCATTGGTGATGGCCACCGCCTTTCGGGCTTGGGCCAGATGCTTTGACATTAGCAAGAGTATTGACATCATTGATGATGGCCACCGCCTTTCGGGCTTGGGCCAGATGCTTTGACATTAGCAAGAGTATTGACATCATTGAAGCTGTGGACCGCCTTTCGGGCTTGGGCCAGATGCTTTGACATTAGCAAGAGTATTGACATCATTGAAGCTGTGGCCCTGATGGCCACCGCCTTTCGGGCTTGGGCCAGATGCTTTGACATTAGCAAGAGTATTGGCATCATTGAAGTTGTGGCCCTCACCAATGCTCAAAGTAGACGGCTTCATAGTTCCAATGGGTGGTATGTGCAAGATTTCATCGGTAGTTGCTGCATTCATCGTATCAAGAGACCTTGCTTCTATCAGTCCAAGAAAATTTCCATTGCTTAGCAACGAAAGAATCAAAACCAAGCTCAAAGTCTTCATCATCGTAATACCAATCGGAACATGTAGCAAGAGAGAAGAACCAAGTTGTTGTATGATATGAAAAACCACTTCTATAAAACATATTTATAGACACAAATTAGGAAGGTATGAATTGAATAAAAAATTATTTATAAACACAAATTAGGAAGGAAGGTGCAAAAACAAGAAAAATTGTGCATAGTTTTCAGAGATAAATTCGGAAGTTGCCAAATAAAACTAAAACGACCATCTTATCTTGAGTTAAAAAATTCAAGACACTATCTCTGAAAACTATAAGGTTTTAGTTAACCGAAGATAAGATGGTCATTACCATCTTACGAGTTTACTCAATATTCGGAGGTTGCCAAATTTTTTAACGAATGGAGGATTGACTTGAATGACAAACTTATGTCATTATTTTAAGTTATGGGCATCTCATGCATTTTTGTGTCATATGCATTGAGATATTTCACCCTTATGATTAGTACAGATGCATACCTTACTACATTTATGTTCACATGATATTATGTGGTCTCTTTCACTCTGTAATGTCTGATAGCTCATTAGTGAGTGCTAGCTAGGTCTAGGGGTACGTATACGAGCCTATCTATTGAGTCCATTTTTGCATGCTTGGGTCGTGTATAGGGAAGTACTACACACGTATACGAGCCTATCTATTGAGTCCATTTTTGCATGCTTGGGTCGTGTATAGGGAAGTACTACACCCCAACCCTGCGCATTATATTTTTAAAATGATAAGTCCCACCATATCGCATGTGGTTGCATTTGTTGGCCCTAACAGATCTTTCTCTTTGCTTTCTGCTTTCAAGACTCAACTGAAAACCTTTTCCTTCTTGTTTGAATTGTAAAGTGGCTTAGCTATTGAGAATTTTGGGAGTTTCTAAGGAAAGCTATCTTCCCAAAGTCAAATCAGAATGAAAAAGGATGGAGTTCCAGCAAAACCCTTTCTAAGGATGAGGACAGTAGTTCGGGAGTTCGCTCGAAAGAACTGGCCAAGCTTTCGATCACTCTGTTGTTAGATCCAAGGCATGTCTGAATCAAGCTCTTGAACAAAGTATGCACCAAACAAAGAGAAGTTTTTTATTGAGGATGGTTTAGGGTTTTCTACTGGAGCCATGATTTCCGTCTCTGCAATGGTGATCCAATGCATGCGCCTATGTTGGGTATCGCGACTCCATCTGTTGTCTTCTTCTTTGAGTTTCGCCTGTTTTCTATCGTCTCGACTTTTGGAATTGACCTGACCCTTGAAGGTCCTACGAAGCTTGTCTCACGCCCCCCTCTCACAATAAAGCTACGGTTTGTGTAGAAATTGGTCTTATCAAGGAAAACCTCCTAAATCCTGTTTTGATTGGATCAACTGTGTATGTATGGATCACTAGCAAGAAATTGTTGATTTTGGATTGAATATCTAAGTTCTGCACGCATTGCACAAGGTCATGCCCATCACGAATGCAAAGTGGCAAATAAGGAACCAGGTTTGAACCCGTCACCGAGAATGTCCCTTATTTCAGGAGGTAAAGCTGCTGAGCTGAGCTCCCTGATTAAACGAGGGTTGAACTATCTCTTATCTTTCACTCGGTAATTAGGATGGATAGGAAGTCAAGACGAAAGAAGAATCATCGTTCACCGGAACCTCAAACCTTTTCCTATCCTAGTTTACTGTTCAAGAATCAATACAAGGAGAAGAAAATGAAAGAAGAATTCTCCTTTACAATTCTAAATCAGGAGAAATCCGAAAGCCAGATGAATGAGACGGAACGAATTGAACTCAATCACCTATCCTAGTTTATTGTGAAAGAAAGAAGAAATGAATTAGCAGCAAAGACTCAACCTCAAACCTTTTCCTGGGAGAAGAAAATGAAAGATGCATTCGACTGAATCGATATGACGTGAAAAAGAAAGTGTTGAAAGTCATGATTGACGATTCATGATCCTGAACTATTCTTTCACAAGGTAAAGCTCATGAACCTATTAGTCTCATTGCAACCACATGCGATATGGTGGGACTTATCATTTTAAAAATATAATGCGCAGGGTTGGGGTGTAGTACTTCCCTATACACGACCCAAGCATGCAAAAATGGACTCAATAGATAGGCTCGTATACGTACCCCTAGACCTAGCTAGCACTCACTAATGAGCTATCAGACATTACAGAGTGAAAGAGACCACATAATATCATGTGAACATAAATGTAGTAAGGTATGCATCTGTACTAATCATAAGGGTGAAATATCTCAATGCATATGACACAAAAATGCATGAGATGCCCATAACTTAAAATAATGACATAAGTTTGTCATTCAAGTCAATCCTCCATTCGTTAAAAAATTTGGCAACCTCCGAATATTGAGTAAACTCGTAAGATGGTAATGACCATCTTATCTTCGGTTAACTAAAACCTTATAGTTTTCAGAGATAGTGTCTTGAATTTTTTAACTCAAGATAAGATGGTCGTTTTAGTTTTATTTGGCAACTTCCGAATTTATCTCTGAAAACTATGCACAATTTTTCTTGTTTTTGCACCTTCCTTCCTAATTTGTGTTTATAAATAATTTTTTATTCAATTCATACCTTCCTAATTTGTGTCTATAAATATGTTTTATAGAAGTGGTTTTTCATATCATACAACAACTTGGTTCTTCTCTCTTGCTACATGTTCCGATTGGTATTACGATGATGAAGACTTTGAGCTTGGTTTTGATTCTTTCGTTGCTAAGCAATGGAAATTTTCTTGGACTGATAGAAGCAAGGTCTCTTGATACGATGAATGCAGCAACTACCGATGAAATCTTGCACATACCACCCATTGGAACTATGAAGCCGTCTACTTTGAGCATTGGTGAGGGCCACAACTTCAATGATGCCAATACTCTTGCTAATGTCAAAGCATCTGGCCCAAGCCCGAAAGGCGGTGGCCATCAGGGCCACAGCTTCAATGATGTCAATACTCTTGCTAATGTCAAAGCATCTGGCCCAAGCCCGAAAGGCGGTGGCCATCAGGGCCACAGCTTCAATGATGTCAATACTCTTGCTAATGTCAAAGCATCTGGCCCAAGCCCGAAAGGCGGTGGCCATCAGGGCCACAGCTTCAATGATGTCAATACTCTTGCTAATGTCAAAGCATCTGGCCCAAGCCCGAAAGGCGGTGGCCATCAGGGCCACAGCTTCAATGATGTCAATACTCTTGCTAATGTCAAAGCATCTGGCCCAAGCCCGAAAGGCGGTGGCCATCAGGGCCACAGCTTCAATGATGTCAATACTCTTGCTAATGTCAAAGCATCTGGCCCAAGCCCGAAAGGCGGTGGCCATCAGGGCCACAGCTTCAATGATGTCAATACTCTTGCTAATGTCAAAGCATCTGGCCCAAGCCCGAAAGGCGGTGGCCATCAGGGCCACAGCTTCAATGATGTCAATACTCTTGCTAATGTCAAAGCATCTGGCCCAAGCCCGAAAGGCGGTGGCCATCAGGGCCACAGCTTCAATGATGTCAATACTCTTGCTAATGTCAAAGCATCTGGCCCAAGCCCGAAAGGCGGTGGCCATCAGGGCCACAGCTTCAATGATGTCAATACTCTTGCTAATGTCAAAGCATCTGGCCCAAGCCCGAAAGGCGGTGGCCATCACAGCCACAGCTTCAATGATGTCAATACTCTTGCTTATGTCAAAGCATCTGGCCCAAGCCCGAAAGGCGGTGGCCATCAGGGCCACAGCTTCAATGATGTCAATACTCTTGTTAATGTCAAAGCATCTGGCCCAAGCCCGAAAGGCGGTGGCCATCAGGGCCACAGCTTCAATGATGTCAATACTCTTGCTAATGTCAAAGCATCTGGCCCAAGCCCGAAAGGCGGTGGCCATCACAGCCACAGCTTCAATGATGTCAATACTCTTGCTAATGTCAAAGCATCTGGCCCAAGCCCGAAAGGCGGTGGCCATCACAGCCACAACTTCAATGATGTCAATAGTCAAAGCATCTGGCCCAAGCCCGAAAGGCGGTGGCCATCACAGCCACAACTTCAATGATGTCAATACTCTTGCTAATGTCAAAGCATCTGGCCCAAGCCCGAAAGGCGGTGGCCATCAGGGCCACAACTTCAATGATGTCAATACTCTTGCTAATGTCAAAGCATCTGGCCCAAGCCCGAAAGGCGGTGGCCATAAGGGATGTTGTTAATGATCTTGCTAATGTCAAAGCATCTGGCCCAAGCCCGAAAGGCGGTGGCCATAAGGGATGTTGTTAATGATCCAGCTTTTTAATGTTTATCTGGCCCAAGCCCGAAAGGCGGTGGCCATAAGGGATGTTGTTAATGATCCAGCTTTTTAATGTTTAGACAATTATCGCTTTTAACACAGTGAATAAAGAGCGATTTTATTAATATGAAACAACTTTTTCATAAAACTCAAATAGTGCATGTTATTAAAAAAAACGCTAGGGATCCCATAAAATATTTAGATTTAACATTTGAAGTAGATAATTTTAATCAATCCATGTATAAAGCTCGTAAAATGGTTTCGCAGTGTAGAATTCACATAATCTAAGAGTTCTAGAATCTACAAAAGATGCTAATATATTTCAACTCCATAGTC